GAAGTTTTAACAGATCTTTGACTTTTGGGAGATAGAACTGATTGACCCCAAGATTTTTCAAACTCTGTTTTGCAAAATCTTAGGATTCCACAAGAACTTGATGAGTTTCCAACAAGAAATTAAGCAAAAAACAGAGGGGGAAAAATTCACTTGAACACAGAAAGTCTCTTATCACTAAATCTTTACTTCCTGGTCAGCAGTTCTAGGTATGCAAATATTTCTTTCAGCTAACAGATTACATAACCTGAAAAAGTTTGATAATCCCCAGTTTACAACTTTTGATCAGAAAGGATCGTAATCTCTTTTATCAAAGGAGACTGCATTTGAAAGACAACATCTTTAATCATTTTAATTCACTGTTAATTTATACGTGGATTTAAAATATGAGGGGATAGGACTCCTGTAGCCCTCCAGTTGCTACTGAATTATCGCTTCTATTAGCCACAGGATACTGGGAGTTGTAAGGTATATCTGCACTGCCTTGCAGGCTTGTTCCCACAATGGGACAGCAAATATGTTCAGACCAGAAGTGGATAATATCAGCCTTTACTCACCTCCATCCTTGAATCTCAAGGGGCTTTTCCTGCTATGGTTTGAAAGTAGCCTTTTTGCCTTATGTCACTCCAAGTTCTTTTGTCTGTTTCAACTGAAGGGCTAACCCAGCAGTTCATTTGCTACTTTGCAAGGGAAAAAAAATGCTCCCAAATTGAAACAGTACTTGCCCTGATCAAAGACATTACTTCTAGCAGTGCAAGTCAGATAGCATGGTGGTTAAAAGCTTGGCTTGATAAATAAGAGGTTGCTGGTTCCAAACCCATTAGAAATGTGTGTGTTTTTAATTACTAATTTCTTTTTTTTAGATAGCTACAATGGTTCTTTTTATTCTCTCTCTCATTTATCTCCAGGGATTGAAAAAGAATAATGAAACGATGAAACGCTGCACTATTATTTTTAAAAGCCCTCAGCTGGCAAGCTGAAGGAAAGAGAATAATGACAAAAACATTTTGCTGGTTTATGAACCAGCAACCTTTTTAAACACTGGTATTTTTTAAAAAAAGATTAAAAAAAAATACCATAGTGTAAGACAATTGGCAAGCATGGAATTTTATTTTAGAAGTTGGGTGTTGAATCTAGTTATATGTGCATTTGGATTATTTATATAAATATATAAATTTATATGTCTATATAAATTTATATATGTATTTATATTTGTGTGTGTGCATATACATATACAAAAATGTATGTATTTGTATTTATCAATCTTCCTATATGTGTACAGACATGAAAATGCACAGAAAGACAGAGTAATTGGCAATTGCTTTCCTTCAATAACATGGTAAGAGCACACAACATGGAAATGTCCAGTTTGAGGACACGGCAGCCTGCAGTCTAATCTTCCTAGCAAACAATGGCCAAACTGACTCAGTCCAGGTATGTTTCACCTAGACTGATTTAGACAGGAGCAAAGGACAGGAGCAGCTTAAATGGTAATTGCAGATATGTTCAAAGCTTAACAATATCTGGAACATTTCCCATAGCCTTATTGTGAAAATGTTCAGGAGAAGGTGCCAAACAAACAGTTCATTTCATTGCTTCAGACTGCAAAAAGGGAATTCATCAGGTGTCTGCACATAAAAACTAATATTTCAGGGATAAGGGGCATAGCTTAGTTTTGTTTACAGCTTCTGGCTTTGTGTATGTGATATTGAAAATCAGAGAGAGATCTTATACTCAGTGGAAAGCTTCCTTGTCCTCTGCCCAGGCTAATTATATCTTCACGGAGTGGGAGCCATTGATTATATAAGAGAACGAGCAGCTTGGTTTGAATGCAGATGATGAAATTCTTACTTTTGTCACCCCCACTTTTTTCAGGGGCTCCTGCTATCTTTTGCATGCAGCCCTTGGAAAGTGAAAGTACAATATGATCCTTGAGTTAAGGAAAGGTTCCTCACCTATACTGGGAAATGTATAATCTCCTGAAGCACTTAAAAAGGATACACTACAACCTAAGAACTTTTTTCCTTACCTATTAGTGTGAAGTTGGCTGTTATTTTAATACAATTTGTTCTCAAAAACTGGTTAGACTTCAGATACATAAATGGGGTAGAGAGAATTCCAAGGGCTTCAATTTGGATCAAATATTCAAAGTGCTGACCAGATCAGTTTCAAGACGGAGCTTCTAAACTGTGTGTGAAACTACTCTGAAAAAATTAAGAATACAGTATCACTCATTTCAGACTGAAAAATCTGTGATTCCATTCAGGTATGCTTCACATGTATTTAAAAGGTACAACATATTATTTTATTAACCAGAGTGTGACATAGCCAGTTGGTCATCTATATAATTTTGGGGAAGACTGATTTACATTACAATTCATTCATTTTTCTTTTTACTATTTATTTTTCTCCGTCAAAATCAAATTTTTACTGCAATGCATCTGAGAGATGCTAAAGTAATTTTGACATTGGCATGTTCTGTGTTAACATTCAATGAAAGCTTTCAGAGCAACAGAATTTTTCCTCAGTTTAATTACAAAGTCCTTGAAATAAGAGGGCAATTAAATATTTCAGTAATTACAAGATGTAAAAACATTGTATATATCTGTATGCATTATGTTCCTGAATGAAAAATCAGGTTTGGTTTTGGTTTTTTGCAGAATGTATGACCTTAAATTTTGAAGACATATAAGTAGTGTACAAAAAATATTATGACAATAATGAAAGTTTTGCACTCAACACAAGAGGTACAGTATGCTGCAAACTCCAAAATCAAACCTGGATTGAGCAAGTCTAAATTTTACCAGAATAAGCTTTGCAACCCTTAGGGGGAAAGAAATCATAGGAAAGAGTTTCATTTATAGAAAATAAAAGTTCTAAAATAAGTTTGCTAATTTCTTAAGTCCCTACAGACTTTAGGTAATAATATTTTAAAATGACAATCTTTCATTGTAAGATTTTTCTTTTATTTAGCCGTTGGCATTAGAAACCAAGCTGGGGAAAAAAATCTGGAAAACATTTTTTCCATGTATTTGCACTATGCCTTCTAACAGGAAATTAATTTGTATGAAAGATTAATTTCATTGTAGCATCTATCTTATAACTTTTTAATATCACTTTGATTTTCCTCACTTCTTAAATTCTCAGTGTTCTGTGTAAGTTGTTCACTTTTGTACTATTTAATCTCTGCCTTCCTCAACCTGTTGCATTCCAGGAATATTGAGCTACAGCAACTTTTATCATTCATAGCCAGCAAGTCAGGGAATTTGAAATCCAACAAATCTGGAGAGAATTACTTTGGAGACATATAAAAAATATTCCTTTAAGCAGGCCTTGTTTGTAGATACCAGGTAGATGTTTTAAAACAAAAAGTGTTTGTTAACCATTGTCTTCCAAATTGAAAGTAATAAGTCTTCTTCTGTTTGATATATTTGACATTAGCTAGAGTAGAACACCATAATCTAACCTCAAATCCTGACCTAGTTCTATGGTATTGCAGGCAATCCTCTTGGGTTGAAAACATTGTCATGCAGAAAGCACTTTGATTTCCCCAATCTAAAGAAATTCATTGTTTGGATTTAAATTGGCCCTAAATAATTTTGAGAAATTCATTGTTTGGATTTAAATTGGCCCTAAATAATTTGGATTTAAATTGGCCCTAAATAATAATTTAGTCAGGAGGCCAGTAACAACTTTTGTAAAGTGTGAGGGTATGAAAATGCCTCATATATACAGCAGAAGTTTTTTATATTTTCTTAAGAGCATTTCTCATGTTGATGTACCACTCCATAATTGGAGACAAAGCACTGTGGTATTGCAGGCAATCTTCTTGGGTTGAAGACACATTTGGAATATCGATGGTGTTAGTCAATAGAATTAGAGCACAGCTGTAACGACTAGCTCCACCATTAACCAGATTGAGATGGTATAAAATGTCAGCAAAATAGTTGGCGATGAAATGTATTGTTACTATTATTACAGGGAGGATGAAAAGTGCCTTTGGGATTTCCTATCTCCAGCAAATGTATTAGACACAGTACAGTGCCCTTTGTCTGGGTGGCAGGAGAACAGTGCCATGCGCTGCCTAGTGGAAGGGTGTCAACATCTCTTGCCTTGACCTTGCATGCAACTAATATAGAAAAGACCTGGCAGATAAAGCACACCATTGGATAACTGTGTTTCTGTTTCAAAGTTGCACGAACATACAAATAGAAAACTATGTATCTTAGCAGAAGAGAGAAAGAAAGTGGGTAATAGTCTTTGGAATTTGTACAGAAAAATTAGTAGGGCTTTCAGCCATTTTATTTGAGGAAGTGCTTCCAAAAAAAACCCAAAACCTGAACCTGTCCGACTGCAAGTGCTTAACCAAGAATCAATTCTTAATTATATCCTGGTGTTCATAACATACAGCAAAAAGTGGCACTGAAGTTTCAGAACTATATTTTGTTCAACTGCATTAGGAATGCTGACTGTGTAAAACCAGCCGATAAAGAATTAACTTGTTTTCCTCTATCTTTTGTTGCAATGATAGTATTTATTCTATCTACTGAATAAGTATAAAAGGCAAAAGAAAATGGAAGGAGGGGTGTTCCACAATTCTGCGTAAGGCAACACTGATATTAACACACAAGTGAAAGAACATGTAAACTATATACAGTTTGAAGTGGGATTTCCTCTTCCCAATTCTGCTCCCACCCCAAATAAAAGCAAAGCTCTCAACACATAGAGTAATAACAACGTTCCCAAACAGTTCATATTTGACTCACAGTTCTGAAGACAATTTCACATTTTAAAACACCTTTCTGTAGGCTATTTTTTAAATTGGCCAGTGCAAAGAGGCAGAGGTAATGCCAGATGTGGACTCCACATGACATTTGCAAACCCTTTCCCCCAAATGGGAGCACCTTAAGTGGGACAAAATTGAAAGTAGCAGGCTCTACATCAGAAATCCTTCTCTCTGGTGACAGAGACTTGGGCTTTTCCTTGAAGCCATCTGTTTATTGGGCTTTTGCTGGAGTTTGGCTTGGCCTCAGTTTGGTAAAGTATCCAGTCCCAGAGAGGCAGCATGTTGCTTCGCTCGCAGCCGGAGATTCTCAATACTGGTTGTTTTACTGTTCAGGCTGGGAAGAGTGGAAGATGCCTGGAGAATTGGAGAGGACCACACCTGCTGGGCGTGAGAGAGGGACTGGTAGTAAGACTGGCAATGCAGTGAGCTTAGGGGTGCCATGTTGACATTCATGCCCAAATATGGCATGGTAGAAGGGCTTCCCATTTCAAAGGACGAATAATGGACCAAGTTATTGGTAGCTGCCATGTGTTGGCGGAACTGCTCTTGAAGGCGGAAGAGGCTGAGAGGAGAAGACGAATAGGAATGCGCTTGGGACATGCTGCTGCTGGAGGATGGGGTGGCAGCAGTGCTGATAGGGGAATCTGCATTGTTAAACACAACAAAATCAAGTCAATGAAGACCTAAGCTCTGACCTGGAATGAATAAATTGCATTGGGATTTTTAAAAGTTGTCTCAAGCTCTGGGCAGCGTTTTAAGGGAGAAAGAATGATGGATGTAATGCCATGCTTGAAAACATGATTTGTGTATACAATGGGTAGGGAACCCCTGGCCTTCCAGTTGCTTCTCCGTAACTGCCAGCAGCCCCAGAGAGAAATCCCAATGCCAAGAGATGTAGGGAGATGTATTTAGCAACCTCTGGAAATCTACAGCTCCCTCTTTCATGTAAAAGAACTTGTGTCCCAGAATGTCAGATGCCACTGGACACATTCTTGTCTGAAACTCATAGTAATTTTGAACCAGATAAAACATGATATCTTCAGGAACAGTAATTTGTTCTTCCTTTCATACAAATGCAAAAGCACCTTAGAATTGTTCACTTTATATATCATCAATTTCATTCGGTGGTAGGGATTTACAACAAAAATTAAAACATGCATACATTTCTAAGCACAGATATTCATGCAGTAATAAACATATAGATCTGGGTTAGAAGATGTTAGAAGATTCTTTTAGCAATTGTAAAGAGAAAGTTCAAAGGAGGAGAAAATAATATTGTCTGATCTAAGTCTAAGGCCAAAATTTACACAGCAGCCATTTATAACATTTCTGTTTCCTTTATTGCTGTCATGCTCAGCGTTACTACATCACTCCTTTGCCAGATTGTTATGTAACAACAAAGTGATGGTAACACCAATTTTCTATTTAAGCAATCTCATTACTTGGCACCAAGCATTTAGTCTTTAAATATTTGCCACATAGCTTGGTATATGCCTGGATTGAACTCATCCAAGAATTAATCACTTGTGTGAAATGTTACCCTTGCATTCATTAAAGCAAAAGCTGAATGTGAACCTGCATTGTAGGCTGGAAAAAACACATCACACTAAGATGGATGCAGAGCTTCTGCTTGTAGGAAATAGCTGAGAATGCTGTACGTATCCCATCAGCCTGCCATATTTGAAAAATTGCTCTAAAGCCGCACTAAGATGGATGAAGGTCTTCCCTGATTTTTTACAATATAAAGCTGCAACATTGTGATTCTAAGACCGGAGTTAATGGTAGTCTTTTCTGGCAGTACCTTCACATGTAACAGTTTGTTACCAGGTTAAGGCTGTTTGAAGTTTAGGTAAAAATGGGCAACTTTAGGGTCATGACAATGCTTTGAGAGTATTGGGGATTTTTGAAATAACCTCCTAGCTAGCCCAGGTTCCCAAAAAATGAAGCAGCCACATTGCTTCATTGGCATTGTTCTGTCTGACTCATTGAATAAAATAATGAATATGAGGTAACGGAGTAACTCAAGACATAAAAGAAGCCAATTATGACCAATGTTTAGGACACTTTTCTTCAGAGACAAAAATTCGCTTTTGAAATAATCTATCTTTAAGTGACTGAAATGGTTCAGTGTAGTTATTTTAAAGGGTTTTTAATGTTCTCAGTATTTTCTGAGAACACTGTCCTTGTTGTGTGTTTCCCTTCTCTGCCCTCAAGATCTTTTTTTTAAAAAAAAACCTTTTACATTGTTAAGAGATCTGGAACCTGAGTTTGCATACTTTAATCTAACATGGATTTTGAGATAAAAATTCTTAGCAAAGGGAATTGGGTTTCTTCTGACCTGCTTTTGGACTTGTCCTCTTGCTGTTCAGCACTTTGTTTTCCCCTCCAGGGCTTTTCTCTTCCTTATTCTCCTCCAGCGAGATCTTGAATTCCTCCTCTTTGTCTGTCTGGTCCTCGGCTGCTGACTCACTGGCTGAATGCTCAGAGAGAGTCAGGCTGAGCTCTGCATTCACCTCCCTTGGCAAACTCAGAGACTTGTCTGCATCGGGAATTGGAGTCGGTGTTTCTAACACAGGAGTGTCTGCTTTGCCTTCACTGTGATTGGCTTCTGAGTCTTTCTGCTTCTGTAGCTGCTCTTTCTGCAGACTGCGCTGCTTCTTTCGAAATTTAGCTCTTCTGTTTTTAAACCAAACCTTTGTTTCCCCCCCAAAACAGGAAAGAAAGAAAAGGGGGAAAGGAAAGAATAAAAGGTAAACATTTTGTATTGAATATTGAATCTTCCTCATCATGCCCACTCCAGAAACCTTAGCAAATTACATGTACAAATTCAAACAAATTCAATGTTTAATCAGCATATTCTCCTGTTTATAAATGGCTAGCAGAGAACTCATAATTGTTTGGTTTGAAAATATGACCTGTAATAAATCTGGGCCTGATAAAGGTGTAAAATTAAAGCAGATAGAAGATATTGATATCCTATTTAAATTTAAATACTATTCAGACTTAAACCCCATTAAGTGTATTTGAATTTATTGCTGGGTCAATATGCATAGGTTAGTGAAGAACTTCTGGCGAGGATCATGAGGAAAAAGCAGGAATGGCAATACAATGTAGATCAGCAACCAGATCAGCAGAGATCAACAGGCACAAATATTTCTGGATAAAAGAGAGATCAGGTGATCACCCATTTGCACTCTGGATAGCTGCTTCTCATGAGTAGACTGCAGGAGCTGAGGATTTCACAATCAGCATGCAATTAATTTATAGCTAAAGAGGTATTTTCTAAGTAATGGGATAAGATTCCACTTGATGAGTTATAATTCTTTTTTTGATTACAAAGGAAGGAAGAGCTTTAATGACTTACTTTTTTTTGCAAAAAGCTTGGCAAGGAGCTAATGTAAGAAAGTTTAAAATAGATGAAGGGGACAATTATTTTGAAAGATCAAGTTTTTGTGAAAATGCTTTTGAATAAATTGAAAATATATTAGACAAATGAACCAGACCTTTGTGGGAATGTTTTCTGTTTACTATTTAAAAGTCCAGACAATTGATGGATTTTGGAAACTAAAAGAAAAAAGTAATGAGTAAGACTGTAATGCTGACTGTAGCTATGAAGATGACGATTGTGAGGTTGATTATGGAGTGGCATTAAAGACAAAAGTATTAAAGGCACAGAAAGATAAAAGGGGGGAAAGTTTGTCTCCCCCCCCACTTCTTTGAGCCACTTTCCTTTTGGGATTACAGTACAAGCAAGACAACTAGAAAAGCAGTGACAATGGAAGGGAGGAGAGGACAATTAGTGCAATCTGCAGAGGAAGGAATTAAACCAGATTTATTTCAGGAAATATTTGAGGAATTGGCCAATATATTAGCAGAGTCACTTGATACTGAAGTAACTAAATCATTTTTACCCAATTGATAATTTTTGAAAAAAGAATAGGTGAAAGATTTGTAAAGATGAAAGAGGAGATAAAAGATGAAGTTAAACAGATGGCAAGCTTGTAAAACAAGTGTCCATGTAGTAAAAAAAGGTCAATGACTAAATCGAACGTTTTAGAGAATAAGACAGAAGTTATAGCTAGAGAACTGGAAAGAGAACTAGATAATCTAGCTCTATTGGAATTGAGAGAGAAGGAATTTTGTTTGAGACTTAGAGCAATAAAGGAGGAATAAAGATATTAGAGAAGAGTTTATTAAAGCCCTGGCAAATTTTTGGATTAGGAAGAAGACACTGAAGCAGAAATTGCTAAAATATGTAGAATAAATTCCAGATCTGAAAAAACAAGAAATGTACTAAGGGATATTTTGGTGTTTTGTCAGGAAGAAGACAAGAAATCAGCTTATCACTTTAATATAAGTGGTAAATCAGATATAATTGTTTTTACAGGAATTCCTATTAGAATTTTGCATAAAAGATATTTTTTTTGACTGAGAGATTAAAGCAGAAAAAAAATCCCATTTTGATGGCACAAATTACAAGGCATGATTTTTACAATTAAATAGCAAAAGTTTTATGTTAAAAAAATGAGGGAATTTTTAGAAAAATTCAAAGAGAAATAGGAGATCCAAATGGAGGTATCAGAGAAGACTACACAAAAATGCTAACAGTACAACAAGAAATTGAAAGATGATACTGAAGCAGGTGCTACAAGCATAGATTTTTCTAAACTTTTGGCTTCATGATGGAGTAAAAATGCTTAATGTGGAATATAAATGGAGCAAATGCTATTTAAAAGAAGGAAAAATGATTATTTTTTTAAAAAATAAAACAAGATATAATTCAAAGTCTTAGCCCCATGCAAATTAACTTCTATCCAAATAAATCTACAATGCAGATCAATCAATACAAGATCTTGTTTTAGTTGGAGATGTATGTATAAAACAACTGCATCTCTATTTTTTTTCTCTTTTGTTGTTGTTGCTGCAGAAGTAAATTCTTCACCCACATTTTTATGATTTCATGATAAAGGGGGCTAAATTTGTTGGTTGTAATATACAGATGGAAGAATGTGGCTGAAAATATTTAAACTTTTATTATGTGTAATCTTAAGGAAACCTTTATAAGATGAATATCATTGGTATTTGCCACCAGAGAAATTGTATAAGGACCCTTTAAATTTATGATGGAAATGTGAACAATAAGAAGGGACATTTTATTATCTTTAGTAGATGTGTGAAAAAGCTAGAAAATTCTGGATCCAAATACATACATTGCTTTGGAAGATCTTAAAGATTAATATATAATAGAAACCAGAGGGGTTCTTTTTGGAAGGGATAAACTGGATAAACAGTTGGGAAAAAGTCATGGACATTTGTTTTTGTACATGATCACTACAGCAAGATTATTGTATGCATGACTTACATTGACTATTTGATCAAAGAAAAGACAATATCTACATTTATTGCTGACCGGGAATGTCTTGTAATTTTTTTGTATGGAACAGAAAAAAAATGAAATTCTGATTCATGTTTTTGATTATTAAACAGAATAAATTTTAGAAAGAAGACAGAGATGTTGTAACCATAATGTAAGAGATAAACATATAATTGTACTTATAACTGTTGTGAAGAAAATTGGGAGCTACTTCTTTGGATATTTTTTCTTCCTTTTCTATTTTTTTTCACTTCTCTTTTTTTCTTTTTCTTACTTTATATTATGTTGCATTAGTTCTTATATTTAAAAAAAACTTTAATAAAATTATATAAAAATATATGCCTAAGATAGTGCTGTGAGTTTAAGATCAAGGGTTGCCATCGTCAAAACAATTAATTTGGCTCCCGTGTCATTGGCAGCTATTAGAAACATATGTACAGTATTAAGTAAAAGTACAAATAATATTTTAAAGCGCATAATGAGGGAGAGCTACAAATTAACATGCCTTAACTTTACTGCATCTGCAGACTTAATTTTACGACATGTTAAATATATAGCATTGAATGAAGCTCATTTTTGTTTATAGCAGTTTATGCATCATAACCACTGTGCACAGAAGGTGTGGTAATTTATAAAATCTACCTTTTCACATGAAAAAGAGAAGGGAGAAGAGGAAAATAGCATTGTTGGGTTCCCCCCCTTTCTTAATTTGCCCATGGTATTCCGATTTTTCTGAAACACCTTTAAATCTGCTCTTCTGCACAGGCAATGATCTTGATCAGAGTACGAGCTCCAAGTTTTCACTGTACATAAACAACATCTAGGCAATTTGTATGTATAAAATACATTAAGTGTGTTATGCAATGTAATCCTATGCTTATAGCATATGAGCAGAAATAAGTGCATATGTTAATCACCAAGTGAGTGTCATACTTGAAGGACCAAAAAAGGAAATATGGCCAAGAAGCTTGATCCATTTATCTGGGTGTTTCATAATCATATTATGCTCTGAAGCAGCAATTAGAAGGATATTCATGAACTACATGATCTGTTTTCAGAATTTTCAGAAGATCTAACATTTGGATTAAGGCTAAGAAATGACAGCACTCACGTACAGTCCCCATTCTGAGAGAAACCAACCCTCTTCCATATTAGCTGCTAAAGAACTATTTTATTCTTTAGATACACTTAGTTGTGCCATTCTTAGACACTGTTATCGTGATAAAACATGTATTCACAGATAATCTCTGTTCAGGTAGTAGAACTGCATTTAGCTCAGTTGTCTTCCCGTGAGAAATACTGATTGATGGGTACCTGTACTCTAGCCTCTGGCAGATTAGTGCACATTGCCAATCTCTCCCGCATCACCACATCTGGGTAGTGAGTCTTCTGGAAAGTTTTCTCCAAGGCTTCCAGTTGTTGGGCTGTGAAAGCTGTACGGCTTCTTCTCTGTTTGCGGTGCTGGGAGCCATAACGGGCCTCCAAGATGATGTCTTGAAACGTACAGCCGTTGGAAGATAAGAAATGTGGCCAATTTAATTAGTGTAATTTGTGTGTTAAAACATTATAACATGGCAGCAAACACAAAATAATAATTGGAAAAACCTCTGCTTCAAAGCTACCATTACCTCTAGGTAGACATCACTGCTTGATTTGACTAAAGAAAGCAACGTGGCAAGACCCAAAGGTACAAGGCTGAATTGGTGAACATCATTATATTAGAAGTACAAGTAATTTTCAAACATTTGCTCTTGTATGTAAGCCAATCTTCCCTAATCAGGTCCCACCGGAAGTGATGGATTTCAGCTTTCATAATCCCAGCTAGCAAAGTCAACAAATCTGGACAGCACAGGGTTTGGGTAAACATTATGGATGAAAAGAAGGAATGGCAAACATCATGAAGCTCTACCTCTTTTTTGTTCTATTAACCTCTACTGTATATGTAGAAGATTATGGTCTACAGAGCTCAGCTTTCTGAATCCATGGAAGTATCCCTGAGAGTTCAGACCCTCATAAAACCTGATTTAAAAAAAAGGATCTTTGGGAAGATCCATTTTCTGTAATCTGAAAAAAAGAGTTCCCACTGCAGAAGAGATAAGGATGTCACAAGAGGAATCTAAAGAAGTCCTCCAGAGATTTCAAAATGAAAGAAAATAAACTCATTCAGTGGTAGCAATGATTGAGGTCTTCTCTCACTGTCTCTCGCAAATTTACACAAACAAAATTGTATGGGAAAGAGGCTTTTTAAAACAGTGCATGTTTTGGAATGTGACATACACAAAGATACAAATGCATTAAAGAAGTACTCTTGGAAAAGTTGTATTCAATAATGTGCGCCTTGGAGTGGGTTGTTTTGATTTTATTTTTCTTATTCTTTTTATTCCGCAATGTTTTAAGGATGGTTGTAAATTGCTTTTCTGGTGAGAAGTGCTTTAGAAATACTTTTAACGAGATATTAACTCATTCATTATTTTCTGAATATTCGATGAAATTGACTGCTAACAAAAATGGATGTTTCAGGCTTGCACTTCTTCTATAAGTACTACCAAAGAAAGGAATAGAAGGGGAAGATGTACTAAAAACGAACAAAAATCACAATCGTGAGAAGTTCTGAGAACTGCAAGGAAGAGAAATAAATAAGTGCAACATACTTTCTTCCTCTCCTTTTTGAACCTATATACAGCTGGAAAGATTGGACCAGGGGTAGTCAACCTTGGCTCTTTTATGACTCGTGGACTTCAACTCCCAGAATTCCTGAGCCAGCTAAGCTGGCTCAGGAATTCTGGGAATTGAAGTCCACGAGTCATAAAAGAGCCAAGGTTGACTACCCCTGGATTAGACATTTCCAGTCATTTCAGCTCTGACTTTATTAAAGTGCTGGACCCCTATGTAACTCATGAGAGGGATGCTGTTCCCATACTCCCTCCCACCTGGCACAAAACCCATCCTTGCTCTTACCAGCCAGTCTCTCTGCCAGCGTGAGGGCATGCACTGAGGGTCTGTAATCAGGTGCGTGCTGGGCTTGCTGTGCTGCTTGTTGGTGCAGGTTATACATCGCGCTCAACGAATTCATGGCATGGAGAGAATAGCCATTCACTCCATAGTGCTGCATGGTGACATAGGACCTGGAGCAACAGAGAAATGAAACTGGTTGGAGAGCTGTTGTTGAGGTAATGTATGGATGCAAAAGAAACAAGAATGCTGAAAGAAATAGAGTTGAATCTCATGTTGAATGCAGGGTCCCATTTTCTGCTTGCTGTTCAAAGGATACATGTTTCATCTTTAATCCCTGTCCAGCTATGGATCAGGCAACCATAACAGCAACAGCTTACTTCCACAGTAGCTGAGCAGGATGGGATAAATGTAATATAGAGAAACACAATTATACCTTGCACTGAAGTTCTGAGGTGAACTGTTTAGAATGATGGATTGAGAATGGGAAGATAATTTCTAATCCATATTCCGTTGCTGGAGGATACAGGTTCTATTTCAGCCTAACCTACCTTGTGGGGTTATTTTAAAGATTAGATAGATAACCCAAATCCCTGTACAATTTCCTGAGTTTGACAGAGAAAGGATGAGATATGACAGACACGTAAGTAGCCAAAGAGGGAGACCAATATCACAGTGTTGCCATTAGGAATATTCGTGTTCGCAGTTTCTCATCCTCGTATGCCTTTCCATGGTTTGGCCAATTCTCTTACCTCCCTCCAGATCATTGATTTTAAAACTTGGTATCTTTAAAGGTGGACTTCAACTCCCAGAATTCTCTGGCCAGCCTTCTGGGAGTTGAAATCCATATATATATTAAAGTTGCCAACTTTGAAAAACATTAGTCCAGACTCTCAAAATTCTGAGTTACCTGGAGTCCATTTTAGATCCCCCCTCTTTTTTTTTCTTTTTGGCTGTTTTTGACAAACTAGATAGAAACCTTTATATTTGATACAGAAAGTGCAATTTTGCTTGTTCAAAGAAAATATTAAACTTAAAAAACCATGATCACTTTCAAAATAGAAACATCTGTTTTTCTGCAAATAGTAATATTACTTTTCACCTTTATCAGTATGCTTTTATAAACTTTATAAACTTTATAAACTCGAATATGGGTTCTACTTGTCAAATCTGCATTTCATAAATTACTTACTCTTACTCTTTCCAGTAAGAGATTTGGGATGCACAAATTGTTTTATTTAGACAGTTGATGATCTTCACAATTGCTACTTTTAAAGTGCGATCTTTATGTTTGTGTGATTTCCTCCAATGTTACAACTTCCAAAACATTGACATAAAAATGAAAAGAGAAGCACCGAGCAAGTCTGAAGCTTTGGGTGTTTGTCTGCTGTCGGCTACTGAATATTATTTGTATCCTGCTGAGAGAGAAAGTATCACTAGATATAGATTTCATCTCTAACTAGTCATCTTATATTCTCCAACACTGGAAAATAGGCAGCCTCTAGCTGTAGCAGTCTTTTTATTCTGGAAATCCAGCCTCTCATAATCTTTCCTTGGCATTTTGAGTCTTTCCATATTAGGGAGATAGAAAGTAGCTTTCTGTCATTCAGCTGAAACCACTGCTCAGCTATTCAAGGCCCTTTTCAATAATTATGGCATAAAGTTCCATCTGCACATAATAAAAGACTTATGGAAACTGGACAGAGGGGCTGTTTTTTGCTCTCTCCTCTGTGTTTTCTTTTGCCCTATAGATCATGGCTGTCAAAATCTTATTCCCAATATTGTGCTTTGTATGGCTTGTAGACAGATTTTATTCTTTATGGTCTGGTCACAATCATGTACTTTCTGTATCTGGAAGGAATGGGGGCAGGGGGGAAATGCAGGGAAACAAATGGCTCCCTTCCCCCATAAAATGTTAACAACAAGGCATCAATGGCTGAAAGGAAATGTCACACTATATATACTGATAATGAACTCACTTCCCTAATAACAGCATCTTCATTTATATGAGAGGGAAAGAGGGCGAGAGAGAGAGAGAGAGAATCAATTCAAAGAAATGTCTGCTTTTTCAGAGAAGCAGGAATCTTTTTGAAAAAAATAAGTTAATCAAGAACCAATGAAATCCAACCATGCATAGCAATCATAGAAAATTTGAACGTCCCTAAAGAATAATTTTATTTTTAATTTATTTATTGTGCATATTCTCCTGCCTCAAGACAAAGTGCGTGGTGAGATCCATGAACGTGCAGATTTGAATCTATGTTTCCTTAAATTTAGTCCAACACAACTTTCTTTATACTCCATGATACACAGAATATTCGTCAATGTTTCCAAAACAAGCAACATAATCCTAGAAAAATTATTTTAACTCTGGTGTGATGACCTTGTCAATGTATCAAGTTAGTGATGTCAGAAGACAGTCAATATTGAAAGTATACGTTGTTCATCTATTCCTTTCTTCATTTTAAAAATGTGAAGAGATCATAATGCTTCTTGTGTAAATTTTGAATATGACAACTTTTCTACAAGAGTGCAATAGAATGCCCAGTTCTGATTATTATTTTTTGCTCTGTAATGTGAAAGAACCTGACTCCAATCAACAACACTCAAAGAGATCAAATATACACATGAATATTTGACCATCCTTCTGCATATGTGCATAATAGTCAGATCCCACTGCATAGTTCAGAATTACTTTTTCAAAAAATGTCTATTTCATTTAATGATTTAAAAATTGTATCCAACTTCTTTATCCATTGGGGGGCTAGACAGCAACATCTAACTTAATTAAAGCCCCAAACAAAAGAAAAACAATCAAAAGCAACATTTAACTGATGATGTGCTGTGAGAGAAATAAAAGGTCCACTTGTTTAGAGACACACCATACAGGAGCCAACCAGTACTCCTTCAGCAGGAAATTGCACAATCACAATGTGACACAGACCCATAAAATCATCTGCTGCACTTTAGGTGTTTACCTGAGTGATTGAGTAGGCAGGTATAGCTACTAAATATTACTAGGAATGATTAGTTTAAAGAAAATTATTTTAAAAAATAGATTGCTAGACTATAAAAGGGTTTTCTTTCTTTGATAAAGAAAGATAGGCAGCATATTGCAGTTGATAGAATTGGAAGATATTCTGTTCTCAGGAATGAACAAGAGATACATGAGTCAAACCTGGGTAGAAAATTGGTTAGAGATGAAGAAATATTTCTGAACTGAATAGGTAACTTGAAAAAAGTACACCTTTTTCCTTGGAGAAAGGAAAGGGAGACTTGGAAAGGATTCTTACACATTATCAGAAAGAGAAGATCTACCTTTTTAAAAAAAAAGAAGAGGAAGGTTAACCATCCACTTATTGCATCTTTAAATAAAGCTTGGTGAGAAGGCGTTTTCAAGTAAAGGATTGATCACTAAAGGATAGTCTATGACAAGGGTAGGCAACGTTGGCTCTTTTATGACTCGTGGACTTCAACTCCCAGAATTCCTGAGCCAGCATGGCTGGCTCAGGAATTCTGGGAGTTGAAGTCCACGAGTCATAAAAGAGCCAACGTTGCCTACCCTTGGTCTATGAAATAGGTTACATGAGCAGATGATGACTGCTTTAATGAGGAGATTGAATCCTTCTCCTTAGGGCAGGGTGTCAAACTGCCAGCCCGCAGCCTCATGCGGAGGCTGTGCCCACCCCAGCTCCGGCAATGCAAAAAAAAGTTGTGATACGTCATGACACATCATGTGACGCGGCGAGTTTGACACCTGTGCCTTAGGGTCATTTAAACCTAGGAAACAAATGATTTAACACAAGGGTACATCATCTGAACATCAGGAATGCATTCCACAGAGCCATCCCAAATGTGGCTAATAAAAGTACAATTTTTAAGATGAGGGGAATAATCAGATTAACTTTTTTGTTGACCCTGTTTTCTATTCATTGGGTCTAACATTCTAATGTCATTGGGTCTAATGACATTGATTTTAATTTTTGCTGTGGCCCCACATTCTTTTTGACATCTGCCTTAGGAGTGCTACTCCAAGGTGAAGCGTGGTCTTCAGTCTGAAAAAAGGTCATAGATCCCTGTTTTTAAAAAAGGACTGACTGAGAGCATTCCTGAGATAGTTCCATCTTTTAAAATGTGAGTATATAGACTGCAGAAGCACAAGCCTTGTTCCTGAAAAAACAGGCCAGGAAAAGAGACGCCATACTGCATGTAACATCATCAAATCTCTCCCCCATAATGTCCCTAGTTCATTTTAACCCTTTGAAGTTCCTCCTCTTAACAGCTCTTTGGCTAAAATGAAAGGAGAATTCTTTGTTGATTAGAACTCATATATGAATGTAATAAAGAACTATTTTCTTAGAGCCATTCAGTTGTGGGGAGATGGAGACAAACTGAAATGTGCTCAGGCACATTTAACTTCCCATTTACCTCCTTCCACATGCCAAGTAGAATAAATTAAATATTTAAAAGACAGTGTGCAGCAAATTTCTTGTAAATGGTAGAGGCCATTTGTCAAGCTGCTGCGGTGTTTTGCAAGCTGTCGAATTGTGCTTACATTGGTTAAAATAATCTTTATATTTCATTAAGCAACCAAATAAGCTGATCTTCCCCACTGGCTGTATAGATGGCTTTAATTTTCAAAATCTGCAAATGCATCTTTTATGTCGTTTGGTGGCTGGAGGGCATTGGTAATGCTGTAGCCAATTGGAGAATAAGCAGGGGCATTTGATTAGGCGGCATATGATATAAATTAACATTGTGCAGTGAAAAAGAGCATATCTTAAGTTGTCCTTGGTACATTGGGGGATTGATCCTTCACCTCTCCATTAATAATGACTGCTAGTCTTGTATCTGTTTTCCTACAGATGAGAATAAGAGGAAAACATCAGTAATAAATCCAGATGATGATCATTATCATTGATGTTTGATGAGGATCAGTGATATGATGATGATGATGATGATGATGATGATGATGATGATAGTGATAGCATTGATGATGTTACCCAGTTAGGTAATGAAATTCTGCAAGCAAATAACCAAGCTCATAGAGCACCAAGGGCTCCACAGTCCAAATCCAGATAAGATGAGAATAAATGTGGTTAAATGAATAGACATACTAGATAAGAGCTAAGCAATTGTGAAAGAGACCCTTAACTGTTGAACAACTTATCTCCAT